CTGTGTGAAATCATGGTCTTCATGTTTGGATGACCATGGTGCTTCCTTCAGCTTCTGCATTCTTTCCTGGTCCTAGGATGCATATTTCAGTAGACATGTCAGACTGGTGTATTTTTTGGTTTGACTGCTTTTCTTTTTATTTGGATTAAGGTTGCTGTGTCTCTGAAGATGTTACAAAGTTACTTCTGTGGTGTATTGGGGTTTTTTGTTCTGCTGTGATTCAGCTGATTTTTTCTCTCTGCCTCTTGAAAGCAATGCTATTAGATGTTTGCCATGATTTTTTTTTCTGTTGCTGTCATTCCCATTCTTCCTGACCTTATTCAGAATTTCTCTCGAAAATATAAAGTGTTGTCTTCAACTATTACTATATTCATTAGAAAAAATGATGCTGATTTTAAGGTAGACATTTAGAAATATGTCTGTTATGATGCACACTTAAGAAATTGATAGTGGCTTCCTTTTTGTAATTTAATCTTTTTTTTTTGTTCTAAAGCTGTAATATATTGAAAAAACTTATGTTTATAATTTCATGGCTGTTAAAAGCTTTATTATTATTATTTTTCATTACCCAGAATTCAGTTAATTTCCATTTACTAATCTGCCACATTCTCTTATATCTTTTGCTGACTAATAGGAAGACAAAATATTTTTTTTCTTTCAAGTTTGGCCTACAGCTCATAAACTCAATTTCCATTATATGTATTGATGTCAAGATGAGGAAAAACATAGTTTGAAAGTTTTACTCCTATTTGTCAAGGGTGCTGTGTTATGATCAATATCACTTTAAGTAATTGGCATTTGTATTAAATGTCAACTGAATAGAAATTCTAGACATTCCCTGATTTGGTGCATTCAGAATATTATAAATGATTAGTTTAAATAAGTTTCTGTAGGATGATAACTCTGTACATGGAATATAAGGTATGCAGTGTGCATACAAAGTGAGCTGATATGAAAGTACCAGATTTGGTATTTGAATGCTGTGCACCAGTTTTTCTTCCAAGTCATCTCTCTGCAAGCTTGTCTCTGTCTCTATTGGAACACTGGCTACATTGCAAGGCAATTATTCAAGCTGCCAAAGAAAAAGAGGGGTGTGTGGGGAGGGAGCAGTGAGAAAAGTCAAGGACTTCATAGCCAAAACACAGATGTTTCATTTGAATTTGTCCTGGCCTTTGGGTGAAGTTGCATGATGGTATCTTTTCTTCAGCACCATTGGTGCAGTGCTTTGATCAGGTGCAGTCTCAGAAGAAATCAATCTTGGGAAGCCACATGGAGTGGTGTTTGTGAGATCAGTGCTGTGGGTTTGGTTTGGGTTTTCCTCCTGCTGAAATGAAGTCCATCAGGAGGGGGGGGATACAATGTAATGCACATGGTTTGTGTTCTCTTACACTCCAGCTGTGCCATCAGCTGTCAGCCCTTGATGAGGACATTGCTGTGTGTCCCCTCTGCTGCCCCGTGTGCTGGCACTGCCTCACAGGGCAGCAATGCACCAAACCAGAGTGGGGAATTGGTGCTGACTGAAGCTGTGGCAGGAGGACACAAAACAAACAGCACTGGTTTGGTGAGGTGGCCAGTCAGGCTCACAGGTTCCCATCATGGGTGCTGGCTCAGAGGAGCCAGGTGTTGCACAGCTGGGTGTAAGGAGGGAGTGAACACAAAGCTGGTGGCTGCTGCTGCTGTGTTCCTGTGGCTGCAGCCTGCAGGAGAGAGGGGAACTGACATTGCTGTGTCTCACAGCTACCTGCATGGTGACAGATTACAGATTTCTGCATTGGCATGGCCAGTAAATGTGCAATTTACAGGTTGTGTAAAAATGCTTATCGCTCTGAGCTTACAGCTGAAGGCACCCAGACCTGTCCTGCAGCATGCAAAGTGCTGTGTAATGCCAAATGCAAGGAAAATGGGCACGTGCTGTTCACAGACACTTCTTCCATCTTCTTGTGCCAAATCTCAGCCAATTAAAGCGGGGCAGTGTCCTCTGGGGAGCGGTGAGCATGGAGGGGTTGGTGCTGAGCAGCAGCAGGGTGAGTCAGGGAGGCTGCCTGGCCTGGGGCCAGCAGTGTCAGAAATGAGCAGGAAATTGATTTAGTGAAGCTCTGAGTACCTTGTGCTAAATGATCTATTGAATAAGAGAAAAAAAGAAATTAAAATTAAAAATACTACTAATAAAACATGGAGTATGTACCAACCAGGACAAATTGTATGTGTTATGTAAATTTTGCTGTTCCCTGGCTTTTAGATGCTTGCAGCTGTGATATTTCATTTCTATCATTACTGTGTGTGTGTAATCTATAACCTTCATCTAAGAAACACGACTCATTAATTAATCATTACCAAGGGCAAGACATGCAACAGCATCAAGTGTGCCAAATCCTCTCTCAAAGTTTTTAAGTGTCTGACTGCTCGTAGATAGCATCTCAGCAATCCTGGCAGATTACTCTAAAGGACCAGATCTTGCAGCACATAGTAAATTTATGGGTTTTTATATCAGTTCTTCCAGTGGCACTCCAAGTAATTTGCAACTCTGCCTTCCATTTATTTAACCCTCTCCTTACTGCTGCAGTGGCTCCTAGCACTGCTGGGATGGCTGGGATGTGGGTGACAGCAGGGACCTGAGGGTGGCATTGGTGCAGATGGGCAGCCCTGGAGTTTTCAGTGCTCATGGTGTGGATTATGGCATTATGGAAATGGGCAAACTCTGCTGCACTGTGACTTCTCTTCTGAGAAAGTGCTCTCCATTTTTATGCTGCTTATGTAGTACCTGCTAAAATTATTTTTAAAGAGTCTGGTATTATTCTGAAGTGTCTGAAAGGAGCAACTTAATTCCCTTTGGCTTTGCTGCTTTTCTTGCTTGGTTTGGCTTGTTTGTAAATATTGGTCGATGTTTACAAACACTTCTCCCCTGCTCTCTTACAGAAAGCTACTGCAAGGCAAAAAAATATTAGAACTTGTCAGACTGTATTTTTAGTCCTTCTTGGTAACAAGTACTTTATTGACAACTCTGTAATGAAACATGAAACCTGTTTTGATTTTTGTTAACTAATTTTCTACATGGATTTGTGATGGGGTTTTTTTTTGTTTAGCTTGTTTGGGCTTTGTTTGTTTCTTTTTTAATTCTGTTACAGCTAGCAAGTTTCATCTGTCTTTGGACCTTCCACATATAAAGAGGACAAAGGAAAAATTGAGTGCTCTAATTGTAGCTCTACTGCACTTTTTTACTGTGTCATATGCTTTTTACATCTCCTGTGACTTTGAAAAGCTGTGTACTTACTTCAGCCTGATTTTAAAGTCATTTTTGCACGATCTTGCCTCTTCCTCATGCATTGTTCCATGGGAGGAGGTGACTCCAGCAGCACAGTGGCCTCACATGTTATTATTTTAGCTCTCACGTATTAATTATTCTTTTTCTTGGTAGCCCATCAGTGTCTGTATCTCTGTAACCCAACACTGTTCTTATGGATCTTGCTGTTCCAAATGCAGCAGCTCCTGAAATAGTCATAAACAAGCAGGGGAAGGTACGAATGAATTAACAGTTATTAGCAAATACTGTAAATGGCACAGAATTACCAAAGCAGGAGGGAGGTATTAGAAGTCTAATTTCCACTTAAGCATAGGTTGATAGGATTGCACAAAAGAAAGTAAGCATAATAGTGAAAATAAGGAGATTATGAAAGTAAAGACTGCATCCCAAACCCTAATTAGTGAGGTTATCTGCATTTCAGCTTTCACATTTGCTCATTAGAAGCACTGGGTTTTTTTTTTGGTTTTTTTTTCACCTTGATTCATATTCTTAGAAAATCTTATGCCAGGATTCTGGCCATAAAGATTTTACATGATACTAATGTACAATGTGTATCCAATTCTTTGTCTTATTTAAAAAAAAAAAAATTGATGCTTTATGGAAAGCTGTTGGCCTGAAATACAATTATTCCTATTCATTTTCAGGGAGATAAACCTCAGCAGTTAAGCAGTGCTAGTACATCAGGCTTCTTTTTTAACCAAAAATAAGTACCATTAATTTAAATTCAGTGAAAGACATGGCTAAGGCAGTGTTAAATGCTCTCACTGTTAAAAGAAAGTAGCTTAAAAGTTTCATGCATAACAGTGGAAAGCATTAGCTTGTCTTTATAGGCTTTTGTACATACTTAGGATGAAACAGTTGGCTCCAATATTGATGGTTAACATGCCTGTTCCCCCCTCAGCCTGTGAGGGTTTTGTGTATTTTTGAGTGGGCTGCCATCAATTATTTGAATTTCTTTGGCAGAATAACCAATCACTTCATCACCCTTATTTCCTATTGCTCAGTTTCTTAATGCAAGGTGACACATATGTTTCTTTCAAAGTCATCTTACATCTGGCTTTGGCTCTGCCTGGGTCCTTTCATTGAGCAGGTGGAAATTGCTGAGGCAATGCACATATTAGGTAATAATTGTTTTTCCAAAAATACTTTTGTGGGTAATAGAAATTCTGAACAAAATGTGGGAATCAACAGGTATCAGAAGGTATTGCATACTGAGAAAGAAAATAATAAATTGACAGAGAAAGCAGCAAGTGGTCTGTGAAGTGGTGACATCTAAGGCTATTTTAAATTAAACTTTTTTGTATTAAAAATGTCCAGTGGAAAGTGTCACAATGCTAAAGTTTTGAGAAATGCTGCTTAAGTTCGTGTTTTTTTGTTCTTTTGAACTGAGTAGAGAAGATGTGGTTCTTTCTTATTTACTAGTTTGGCAGTGCAAAAATTAAATTACTAAGCAATGTCTGTGCTTGAGTGTCTGCATTTGGGACAGGGAGGAGGGAAAATAGGAGGCATATGGAAAGAGGAATCTAGAAGATTTATTTCTTACATCTGGTGTGGTTAGACTGTGATCCTTTTGGTGGTTAAAAACTGTAATAGATAAATGGCATTAAATGAAATTTAATGTTAAAGCCTTTGGTTATTGTTAGGATTTTACAGATTTTTTTTTTTTTTTCTGAAAGTTATTCTTATTTCTTTCTGACAGATCCAGCTTGGTTTTCACTGCCCACCACAGTAAGAATTCCCTCTCACCTGATGAGCTAAAGACACGACCCTAAGGACTGCCAGACTGAGCGCTGCCGCCTGCCTGCTCAGTGAGTACTCACAGCCTGACTTTTGTGCGCTGTTTGCTCGCAGATGTGTTTGTATATTGTTGGCCAAAGTGGTTCCATCTATGCTTCAAAAGTGCCTGGGAAGATCTCTGCAGGAAAGTGGTTTTGTAGAGGAAAGCAATTTTTCTCAGCATTTTGCTTTAAAGAATCTACTTCAGTCTTTTCCAGCCCAAGTGAATTACTTCAGAAGGCCCCACTAAAAGAAATCTGCCTTTTTCCTGTCTACCTGCATGTTCATTTGGGGGCATTGGTCATGCTGACAAATTCAGAATCAAATGAGGGTGTTAGGAATTTATTGCTCCTGGCATCAAAATATTTTTTACTTCACTGGAATGAGCTTTTTGTTCAGATTCTGAACAGAAAAAAATCATTCAGTCTGTATGACTGGCTGCATACAGTTCTATATCTGTGTATAGACAACATATGCCATGCAGAGAACAGAGAAAGAGAAGAAACCTTCCCATTATCTGTTCTTTCATGGTGTCTCTAACTGCTGGTCAGAATGCTCACAAGACACCCTGCAATTTAATTACTGTTGTACACATGCTCTGGGAATTCAGGTAATTATATAAATACCACACTTAGCCCAGTGTGTCCAGCACTGGAAAGGGGCTGTCCTGCTTAAGAGTCACTCAAGAGTAAAGGGAACATAACCTTTGGTTGATGGATTCCCATCAGGAAAAAACCAAAACCAAACCTTACTTATGTTCCAAAAAAAAAAAAATCTGCCCTCTCTTATGGATTTTAATTTTACTGAGAATAATTTTCAGTGAGACACCTGAGAATTCTTACTTGAGTAATTTAATTCAGTGGCAGTATTTCATGGGAAGCTACTTCCAGATTGTGCCTTTTCTAAATCTCTCATTTGGAGTTACTTTAATATAACATTTTAAATTGTTTCACTTGTCTTGAAAAGCATGGCAAAACAGTGAGATTTAGATATGGCAGGCACCAAGTTCCGAGGAAATTCTTTAATTCACGCTGAAAAAAAATCAACACGTTCTTCTGCATTGTTTGCAATGGGTCATTTGGTTGTCATTACATATTTTCTACTGGAAGGTTAATTTCTGACTCCAGGGCTGTACTTTTTCAGTTTTTAGGCCATTGAGATCCATGCTCCATACTTATAAAGTAAATTACTCCAAGGGTCTGATCTTTAAATTTTCAAAATTTGTGTTGTGTAAGAAAATTAAAATGAGAAAAACGAGATACTTTAGTATAAGGAGTCCTTCATAATGAGAAAGAAAATATGGAGGAATTGTGGTGGTTTTAAAATTTATTTTTAATATTTTACATGTCTAAGTTTCATGACAATTTTCTACCAGCTCTGTGTGGTTAAAAATATGAAATAGGGGATTCCTGAAATCTGTGTTGACTATTATAGATATATCTATCTGGGCTATGTCTAAGTTATTTGTATATGCTCTGTGTCTATGTTCCTGTATTTAAGGGATCTTCATAGCCCATCTTTAAGTAGATAAAGAACAGATTAACCAGTACTTCCCACAGCAAATTGCAGGAGAACAAGCATTAAGTGATAAAAGATACTGGTTCCAGAAGCTCTCACTTTTGCTCTGTATCTCAACAGCAGTTTGTTAGGGAAAGGTTGCAGAAGTAGGTCCTTGGTGAGAATTTCAAAGCACCTGATAACTCAATCTCAAAATCCCCTGCTGTAGTCTTGGTTTGTTTGTTTTTTTGCTGTCTGTTTTTTAAAATAACACCAAATGATCTCCCAGGGTCAGACAGTAAGTCGGTAACAAAGCTGAACATAAAACCAAATTGATAATTCCCTGCAGTAATTGAGGTTGACAATATGCCTGCTTAAACTGTCAAAATGGTGGCTAGATCCTGTGCATTACTTATTTTCATTGCTCTGGAAAATACTGAGGCCAGGAAGGATTTTCAGGCACTGAAGAAAACTTTTCTTCTTGCTCTCATCGTATGAATTTACGGGGGGAGTTTGCTTTGGGTTTGATTTGACTCGAGACAGAGGCTCGGGGGACAAGGAGCTCAGTGCTGTGTGTGAGGAGCAGAGCTTTCCTTCCCTGTCAGTGAAATATTTCCTTCAGAGGATGTCCAGCAGTTCTTCCAGCTGAGAGAGGCTCCTCACAGAGCCCCAGGACAGGGGAAGAACATGAGCACCACAAGATCCCCTGAGCACGGTGCAGCAGCTGATTTGGGGTTTCATTCTGGGCCTTCAGGGTTCTGGGAGATGTTCTGTCTGTAGTGGGAGTGTTCCTTAGCTGCAGGTTTGGGTTGGGAATTGGCCCTGGGCCCTGTCCCAGGTGCTGGTGGCATCACTTGTTTTCAGCCTGCTGTAGGTGCTGTCTGTTCTTTATTTCACTCCTAAACTTGTGTTCCTGTGCATTTCCTGGTGTGATGAGGAAGTGCTGGTTACTTCCCAGTTAATTCCCTTTTTCTATGGTTTGCCCAGCCCTTCAGCACTGCCTGTTTCTGCTTTATGTTCTTTATGCATCTGCCAAAAACTCGCTGTCAGCCCCCAAACCACTGTTGAGGCTCATTTCCCTCCACTGTGCCCTTCTCCAGCATCCTCTGTGTTCTTCAGAGGCCATGGCTGTGACAGCAATATTTCAGCATATTTGTTAGGTTCTTTTTTTCTTTTTTTAATTTGATTCCTTTTCAACAAAGGCTGCTATCATCCCATCATGGTGGATCAAAGCTTTTAGAAAGTAACTACCTTAGAGGAAAAAGTTTAACTTCTTGTACAAAACCCTTCTGGACTTATCCTCAAGGGAGGACTCAGTTTCTTAGCTTTATGCATCTTGACAGGAAATTTGTGTCTTCTTAGGGAGTTGGAAGAAAACAGCCTCTTCATCACTGCCAACTTCTGTGCTCCTCTTAGTTCCAGGTCTGGAGGATGCAAATTTTTTGGCATTTTTAGTGCTGCCACTCTGAAAAAAAGAGCATATTCTATATGGTTTGAAAACCTTCTGCAAACTCCCATTGGTATAAATAGTCAAAACTGCTTGAGCAAATTGCTGAAGAAGCCCTTTTTTTACTGTCAGACTTGGATGCCCCTACCATGTTGGGTGTATTAGTTTGCAATGATTTTGAAAGGGAACAGAAGTTAACAAATGATGTGTTCTTAAGTATTTGTATCTTTTATTTCTTAGGCAACTCACAATCAGGGCTTGATAAGTATTAGCACTCACAAATGGAGCCACAAAACCAATGCAACCTCTGCTATTGATTTTTCTCCTGGGTAACTCTTGGCAGCAAAGGCAGGTTACCATCCTGTGTAAGCATCAAACTTAGTTAGAGTAAATTACTCTGAATTATAAACTAACCAATAAATCAGCGTTGCTACAGTGTTGGCCTCCCATTCCTCACCCCATACCTGAAGTGTGTATCCCAGATAAGAATCAATGTATCAGAAAATTGTTTTAATTTTATTTTTAATTAAATACAATAAAAATGAATGCTCTCCTGGAATTACCTGGAATAATTATGCCTGGTGAAAGAGCAGGGGCATACATGCAATTAAAATTGGTCATTGTAATGTGATAATTACAGAAGTAGAATTAAGGTGTTGCCCATCCTTTTGTAAATTATGCCATATCACCAAGTACCATTGTTTTTACATTTTTGTCTTTGTTCTGAAGTTCAGTAAGATATTAATGGGGCTAACCAATTTTACAAGTGGTTTTAAATTAATCAGGACATATGCCCACACATTGGCCTTAGCACTGCAAGCATATTTGTTGGGAGAGGAATTTATTTGGCAGCATTCTTTAAAACCCAACATTTGATATGAAGGAGATGAAGCACTGCCATTTCTCAAGTACTGCATGAGCAGATGAGAAATTGAATATTACTTTGGATAAATTCAGGCCTCAGTCAGATGTATGGAAGATGGGAATAATTCAAGCAGAACAGGAAGCCTAGGATAATTAAAAAATAAATTACTGTATCTTAAAATATTTCAGTGGACTCTAGATATGAGTGTTCAGACTGAGAAGGATGTAGTGAGAAAAACTAACTATATGAAAATACCAAATTATCACTAAAGGTCAAGTAAGAATGTACTGGAAAAGATAACTGGATGTTTGAAGTCCTGTTGTTTGTTTTGTTTGGGTTTTTTTTTTTGATTGACTACTATGTAGCATACAAAGTTGAGAGTTGATAAATAGATGCTGATAATATTTGCTATTTTATGAGAATTCTCTTTGAGTCAGGTACAAGTTTTATTAACAATAATGTGCATTCTGTGCCATGACATTGTATAATTCATGTATTCTTCCAATACCTCAGTGGGATATGAGATTTTGTGTGAAAAAGGACATTGTATAATTCATTTATTTTTCATAAACTTGAGTGGGATATGAACCTCTGTATGAAAAAGGCTCTGCGGGGGAAAAATATTTGAGTTTTGACCTTTGATTTTTCTAACTAAGGGCAAGTTTTAATATATGTCATAGTTTGAAAAGGAAATTCATTTTTTGCCTTCTGTGGGAGTCTGGGAGTGTGGGTGAAAGGGTGGGGGAAAATGCTGTGGGTATTCAGGCAGCTTGAGGGAAATGTTAGGATCTGAATGCTTCTTAAAGTGAGACTGAAGGGGACAGGTCTTGCCTAGAATCTCCAGAAATTGCATTCTGGGGCTATCCTTGGAGAGCCGAAAGAAAACAGTAACAACTCATGACAGATTATTCTCTATAAAATAGTCTGTGTAACCTGCTACAAGCACTGAGTAGGGGTATCTAGCATGAAGGAAAATGTAAAATCCTGTCTGTGGTGCAGTAACCTGCTCTTTATTTATGGTTTTATTTCTTCCTTCCTGTATTGAAATCTCAGCACTGACAGTTCTAGATTTTTGTGCAACTGATTCTGAAGTCTTCCTGGAAACTTGGTGGGGTTTCAAAAGAAATTCTGTGTGTTTGAGAATGATGTGGCCCCTCCTGTTTGATGATGAATCCTGGGCTGAACTATTTCAGAGTGAAATAGCTTCCTAGTGAAAGATCCTA